AGAGACGGGGTTTCACCGTGTTAGCCAGGATGGTCTCGATCTCCTGACCTCGTGATCCGCCCGTCTCGGCCTCCCAAAGTGCTGGGATTACAGACTTCAGCCACCACGCCCAGCCGACTTTATGTTTTGAGAAGAGGATTCTGCTAAATTCTTGGGATTATTCAGAGGCTTATACACCAGCAAAGAAAAAAGAAAACCAATTTTATTTACAAGTGTGGGTAACTATAAGATGATAACACTTAATAGAAACAATCATAAGAATAGGTTGATAGGAGGAAAGATGATAAATTTGGCTGTGGACAGAAGAGGGTTATATGTATAAGATGAGGAGAGTTCCAAGCAAAGAAATGCAACATGCAACTGGTTTGAAGATAGGGTCTGAGAAAAATACTCTGATTTAGAGATGTCAGTGTGGATGAATGAGATCATTGGTCTTAAGAGTTTGAGAGATAAAGCCTGATGCTGAGGCCTTTGTGGGAGAAGTGAATCTTTGACAACTTTCTCAGTATCCTCCATGGTAAATGGCATCTCTGTAGTTTGTCTTTGGTTAATATACATATATTTTTAGATGGGGTCTTGACCTGTTGCCCAGGCTGGAGTGCAGTGGTGCACTGCAACCTCCACCTCCCAAGTTCAAGCAATTCTCCTACCTCAGCCTCCCAAGTAGCTGGGATTACAGGCATATGCCACCATGCCCAGCTAATTTTTCTGTATTTTAAGTAGAGATGGGGTTTCACCATGTTGGTCAGGGTGGTCTTGAACTTGTGACCTCAAATGATCTGCCCACCTGGGCCTCCCAAAGTGCTGAGATTACAGGCATGAGCCACTGCCTCCAGCCTGTCTTTAGTTAAATTTTATGCATTTTAATTTTTCTAGATAATTGTTCTTTTCATTTAGGTTATCAGATTTCATGAATTTGAGCAAAGTAATATACAATTATTTTTCTTTTTTTATATCTATAATGGTTTCCAATTTTAATTTCTTATTTTGTATAACTATTCTTTTTTAAAAAGAATATATTGGTCGGGTATGGTGGCTTACACCTGTAATCCCAGCACTTTGGAAGGCCGAGGCATGTGGATCATGAGGTCAGGAGTTCAAGACTAGCCTGGCCAAGATGGTGAAACCCCACCTCTACTAAAAATACAAAAATTAGCCAGGTGTGGTGTCAGGCTCCTGTAATCCCAGCTACTCAGGAGGCTGAGGCAGAGAATCACTTGAACTCAGGAGGTGGAGGTTGCAGTGAGCCAAGATCACACCACTGAACTTTAACTTGAGACTGTGTCTCAAAAAAAAAAAAATAAGAATACATGTATTATTAGGTTGCTCTGTTCATAAATAAGTTTATTTTTAAATAATTAGCTTATGGATTTATGTATTAGTATTCTTTTCCAATTTTCTGTTTTTTTCCATACTAATTCATAAAATATTTTCTCCTTACTAATTCTTTCCTTCTAATTTTCTTATTTATTTTGATCTCCATAGTGCTGAAATGAGAGCTTGATCTATTAATTTCATTCTTTTATTTAGTAATGAGATTATTAAGGACTATGAATTTTCCTCTAAGTTTGTCTTTGTCTATCTCCTGTAGATTCTGATACTTGTGTTTTTGTTACTGCTGTTCATACTAGATAATCTACCTTAAAAATTTTTTTCTTTCACCCAGAGTTGTTTAAAAGAGAGTTTTCTGGTTTTATTGTATTTGATCAGATAGTATTATTATTAAGGAATTATTTATATTCAGTAAACTGGATACATATAAATTGTACAGTTTGATGACACTTGCATATACCCATGAAACTGTCACCACAATCAAGACACATTTAGTATTTCTATCACCCCAAAAGATTGCTTGTGTCTTTCCATCTATCCTACTCTGCACTCCCAGTTCCAAACAAACATGAATCTGATCTTTGTTGTTTTTTATTAATTTGCATCTAAAGTAAATGGAATCATACAGTATGTATTTTGTTATGTCTGGCTTATTTCACTCAGCATAATGATCTTGAAATTTATCTATATTATTGCAGTATGAATGCAACATTTCATTTATCCGTTCACCTAGTGATGGACATTTGGGTTGTTTCCACTTTGGGGCTATTATAAATAAAGTTGCTATACAGCTGTCATGTACAGGACTTTGTGTGAACATATATTTTTATTTTTGGGGGGTAAATACCTAAGATGGAAGAACTGAGTTATATGATAGGTATATGTTTAACTCTGTTAGAAACTGTCAGCTTTCTGAAGGAATTATACCATTCTTCTAGCAGTGTATGAGACTTCCAGTTAATCCACATTCTCACCAAATCTTGGTATCATTAGTAGTATTTTTAATTTTAGTCATTCTAAAAGTTGTGTTGTAGTTTTAGTATGCATTTCTGGAATGACTAATAATGTTGAGCCTCTTTTCATATGCTTACTGGCCATGCATATAACATTTATGAAATATTTGTTCAAATATTTTGCCCATGTTTTATTGGATTGTTTATCTTATGAGTTGTAAGAGTTCTGTATATTGTCTTAAAACAAGTTCTTTATCATTTATATGTATTGGCTTATATGTATGCCAATTATGGCTTGCCTTTTTGTTTTTCTACTGCCACCACTGTTGGAGGCAAAGTTTGCAATTCTTGTAAAATCCAATTTATTAACTTGTCTTAGTTGGTGCTTCTTATATCTAAGAAATTCTTGCTACTCCCACGTCACAAAGATATTTTTCTAGGAGTTTTAAAGTTTTAGCATTTACATTTAGCTCTGTGAATGATTTTGAGATAATGTATGTGTCTTGTGTGAGGTAAAGGTTGAGGTTCATTTTTTTTTCCATATGGATATACAGTTGCCCCAAGACTGTTTGTCAGGAAACACTTTCTCTTCCTAATGGTATCACCTTGCTACTTTTCCTGATCATCACTTGACCATATATGTGTGGGTATAGTTCTGGAATCTCTTCTGTTCCATTGATCTATATGTCTATTGTCTCACCAGTTCCATACTGCCTTGATTACTGTAGCTTTATGGTAAGTTTTGATATCAGATAGTGCAATTTGTAAAATTGCCTTGACTGTTTTAGATCATTTGCATTTCATATAAATTTCAGAATGAAGTTGATAATTTCTACTCAAAAAACTTAGATTTTTGCTGGGATTACATTGATTCTGTACATCAATTGAAAAAGAACTGACCTCTTAACATTGAGTCTTCTAATATAAGTATGGTTTATTAAGCCATTTATTAGTCTTTAAAAATGTCTCGAAGTTGGGTGTGATGGTGTGCGCTGGTAATCTTAGCTACTTGGGAGGCTGAGTTGGAAGGATTACTTGAGTCCAGGACTTTGAGACTAGCCTGGACAACATAGCAAGACTCTGTCTGAAAAAGAAAAAGGAAAAATAATAAAATTTATCTTAAGAATATTTTGTAGTATGCAGTGTAGTGGTACTGTGTTAAATTTTTTTCCTAAGTGTTTAATAGCTTTTTGAGTGCTATAATAAATATAATTTTTTAACAATTCGGTTTTCTAATAGTTTGCCCCTAGTATGCAAAAAATGTAAATTGATTTTTGTATTAACTTTACATCTTATGACCTTGCTAGATTCATTTAATAGTTGCCCTCACAGTTATTTTGTAGGTCTATGAGGATTTTTTGGATGGACAATCATGCCATCTACAAATAGTTTTTTTTTTCCTTCTGATCCTTTGAGAATTACACCTTACACCTTAGACCTTATTTTTCTTGATGTATTGCAATGGCTAGGACCTCCTGTCTAACGTGTAATTGAAGGGGTAAGAGGAGATGTACTTGTGCTGTTCCAGTCTTAAGGGGAAATGTATTCTATCTTTACTGTTAAGTCAGTGTAAGCTGTAAGTTTTTCTTAGATGTCCTTGATCAGTTTGAAAATATTACTTTCTATGCCTGGTTTGCTGAGCATTTTTATAATAAATGGATCAGATACTATTTCTACATCTGTTGAAATGATAATGTGATTTTTTTTTCATTAACCTTTTAATATGGCGAATTACACTGATTGATTTTCAAATGTGAAACCAATCTTGCATTTTTGGGATAAACTCTACTTGGTCAAGATGATGCTATTCATATTTTCCTGGATTTGATTTGCCCAGTTTTATTAAAGATTTTGCCTTATGTACATGCGCTACATTGGTCTGCAGGTTTACTTTTATTTATTTATTTGTATATATATATTTTTCAAGACGGAGTCTTGCTCTGTCACCAGGCTGGAGTGCAGCGACTCAATCTCAGCTCACTGCAACCTCCACCTCCTGGGTTCAAGTGATTCTCCTGCCTCAGCCTCCCGAGTAGCTGGGACTACAGGCACATGCCACCACGCCTAGCTAATTTTTGTATTTTTAGTAGATGCGGGGTTTCACCCAGTTGGCCAGGATGGTCATGATTCTTGTCCTCGTGATCTGCCCACCTCGGCCTCCCAAAGTGCTGAGATTATGGGCATGAGCCACCGCGCCCGGCCTGCAGGTTTACTTTCTTAAAATTTTTTTATCTGGCTTTGGTATCAAGATAATACTGGCCTTATGAAACCAAGTTGGAAAGTGTTTTATCTTTTTCTATTTTCTGACAGTTTGGATAAAATGATATTATTTCTTCCTTAAATATTTGATAGAATTCACCAATGAAGACATCTGGGCCTGAAGTATTTTTTAAATAACAACTTTAATGGATAAAGGGTTAATCAGGTTATCTGATTTTTGTTGAATCAGCTTTGGTAGGCTGTGTCTTTCAAGAGATTTCTGTGTTTCATCTGAGTTGTTCAAGTTATTAACATTTTTTAAAAACAGCTGTACAATATGTAATGATAACTCCTCTGGTGTTGTTGATATCTGTTCTTTTTTTCTTGATAACCGATGTTTTAAAAGAACCTACTTTTGTTTTATTTCCTCTGTTGTTGTTTTTCTGTATTGTTAATTTTCTTTCTTAACTTTTTGCTTCCACTTTCCTTAAGTTTACTTTGGTCTTTTCCTCACTTCTTTTTTTTTTTTTTTTTTTTTTGAGACAGAGTCTAGCTCTGTCACCCAGGCTGGAGTGCAGTGGCCGGATCTCAGCTCACTGCAAGCTCCGCCTCCCGGGTTTACGCCATTCTCCTGCCTCAGCCTCCCGAGTAGCTGGGAGTACAGGCGCCCGCCACCTCGCCCGGCTAGTTTTTTGTATTTTTTAGTAGAGACGGAGTTTCACCGTATTAGCCAGGATGGTCTCGATCTCCTGACCTCGTGATCCACCCGTCTCGGCCTCCCAAAGTGCTGGGATTACAGGCTTGAGCCACCGCGCCCGGCCTTTTCCTCACTTCTTGAGGTAACATCTTAGATTATTGATTTTTAGACTTTTAGTTGTTTTCTAATATGAGCATTTGAAAACTAGATTTTCCTTTAAGTACCGTTTTAGCTGTATCCCTCAGATTTTGATATGTTGTATTGTCATTATCAACCAAGATATTTTGTAATTTCTCTTACTATACTCTTTGGCCCATGATTTATATGATTTGGGCCATGATATATAACCTCTATTGAGGTTAGACAGCATACTCACCTTGGTTTTGGTACTTTAGAATTTATAGAGACTTGGTTTGTATATACTTGGTTTATAGTCTATCTTATTTACTGAACACACTGTGTGCACTCGAATACATGTTGTACAAGTGTTGATTGTAGTGTTGTATAAATATAAATTAGATCAAAGTAGTTAACCCTGTTGAGATCCTCTTTGTTACTATTTTCTCGTAGTTTTGTCAGTTTCTGAGCAAAGCATGCGTTAGTTGCCTATTATGACTATAGGATTACCTATTTCTTACACTTTCAATTTTTGTGTTATGTATTTTGAGGCTTTATATTAGGTGCACACACATTAAAGATTATTTCTTTCTGGTGAATTGATCCCTTTATTACTATATGTCTCTTTATCTTTGGTAATACTCAGTTTTAAAGTCTATTTTATCTGACACGAATATAGTCAGTCTGGCCTTATGCTTACTGTTTGAATGTTACATCTTTATCTGTTTACTATTTATTTTTAATGTATTCTTATATATAATGTGAGGTTTCTATAAACAGCATATAATTGTGTCTTTCATTTTGTTGATTCCTATAAACTCTGCCTTTTAACTAAATGAGTTCATTAATATTTAATTATTTGTATAATTTGAGTTGGGTCTACTATTGTTTTCTCTTTAATATTTCTCATTAAAAAATATTTGCTCATCTCTATCTTCTTTTGGGATGTTTGAATATTTTTTATAATTCCATTTTATTTTATCTGCTGGCTTGTTGTACCTTTTTATATTATGCTTCCAGTGGGTGCTATCGTGCAGTGATGCTCAAAATGTGGTCCTGAGACCAGCAGCATCACCTGTGAATTTATTAGAAATGAAGATTCTCAGCCCTCAACCTCCACTAATTCAATCAAAAACTCTGTGCACAGAGTATAGCAATCTGTCGTTTAGCAAGTTTTATCTAATTCTGATACACTCTAAAATGTAAGAATCATGCCTGTAACGATTATAACATCCATCCTTTTCAGTCTAATGAGAATTAGTATTCATCAATGACTATACCTATGTTTTTACTTCCTTATTATAGTTTTATCAACCTAATTCTGGGTTTATTTAATTAGATCATTGCTCCTTGGCAGTCATTTCATATTTCTTTTTTGACCCATGAGTCTTCAGAATTTAATTTTCATGTTGACTTTCTATAGGGCATTCATGAGTGTGATTTGCAACTGTTTAGAGAGGAAAGTGGAATCTGGAAGGGCACTGAGGCAGCACAGTGGGAGTCAGCAGCCTCAATTTAAGTATGTTGCCTTCAGATTCTTTTCCTTCCAAATATCATTATCCACTATAACATTTTAGTGGTAATATTCCATTTGATTTCAGACATTTACCCCATTCATGCAAGCGTGTCATTCTAATAAGAGGATGAATTAGTGTGATGTTTTATGTATTATTGATTCAGTATTTATTCCAAAGATACTAAGCATCTTCTATCTTTCCAGGCTATTTTAGGCAATGGGTGTTCAAGGGTGAGAAAAAAAGTTCCTACACATGAATGTTTACATTCTAATGAGAATAGAGAGTAAGTTAACATGTAATATGATATTAAATAAGTTAGGTGCTGTGAAGTGCAAAGCAGGAGGAAGGGGAGTATGGAATACTTCATATTGGATGTTCAGCAAAGGCCATACTGAAGAGGTAATATGTGAACAGAACCTCAAGTGAAGAAGTGCACTGAGAGAAGGGATCAAGCAGGTATCTGTGGAAGGTGCTTTTCAGGCAGAGAAATGGCAAGTCTGGTGTTCCTAAAGTGGAAATATAGTGAATACCCATATGACTGAAGTGGAGGAAGCAAGCAAGAGAGTAGTAGAATATAAGATCAGAGAACACCAGGTCATGTAGAGTTTTATAAACCAGGGTAGGAATTTTGGCTTTATTATAAACATAGTACGAAACTACAGGAAAATCTTAAGCAGAAAAATGAAGTGATCTGATTTGGAACTGAACACGGGAAGGCAGATTAAGTTCTGTGCTAGTTTAGTAAGACCAAGCAGTTTAATAGAAAACTACTCTTATATGAAGGCATCTTAGCTTCAGGGATCAATTGAAAATTTACATATGGTTGGAATTTGTTACATAGAAAATGATTTTCAGGAAGACTTTTTTCTAACTGCAGATGTTTACCCACAGAGTTTTATGAACAATATGAACAACCATAAAGTTTTACATGTATCCTAATAAGGATATTAATAGTGCCTAGTGTTGTTTTTAGGCCTGTGATTCCAATGGAGTTTTTAAATCATGTTAACATCATAAAACTGGCTTATTAAAGATAACTTAGCTTGAATGCAGGATAACCTATGATAAGAGAGGACAGGTGTTTGAAGTCTGTTATTAACTTTGATATAAAAAGCTGATTATGATTTTGGATGACCACCTTGTTTTGCTCTTCTTATATTTACCTTACTGGTTGTCAATGATTATTTCCTTAATCAACTCTCTTAAATTCTTATTATTTATAATGTCATTATTTTAGAATGCATTATAAGCTTTTAAATCCTTTAACTTGTTATGTATTTTATTCACATGTTTAAGTTTCTTCTAGTGAATTAAATACAAAAGACATTTGTTTCTTGATATCTTTTAGATTGGGAGTATGTATTTAAAAACAGTGAATTTTCATCAAAGCAAGAGACATATGAAGAATCATCCACAGTTGTGACAGTGGGAACAAGACATCTTAGTTATAGCCTTGACTACCCCAATTTGAGAGAAGACTGTCAAGGTAAGGACTGGTATAAGAACCAGCTGGGAAGTCAAGAGGTACGTCTTAGTCAATTAATCATCACTCATAAGGAAATCCTTCCAGAAGTTCAAAATAAAGAATATAACAAATCTTGGCAAACATTCCACCAGGATACAATCTTTGATATACAACAGAGTTTTCCCACCAAAGAAAAAGAACATAAGCATGAACCACAAAAGAAAAGTTACCGGAAAAAATCTGTTGAAATGAAACATAGGAAAGTCTATGTAGAAAAGAAACTTTTGAAATGTAATGACTGTGAGAAAGTCTTCAACCAGAGCTCATCCCTTACTCTTCATCAGAGAATTCATACTGGAGAGAAACCCTATGCATGTGTTGAATGTGGGAAAACGTTCAGCCAGAGTGCAAACTTGGCACAACATAAGAGAATACATACTGGGGAGAAACCCTATGAATGTAAAGAATGTAGGAAAGCCTTCAGCCAGAATGCACACCTGGCCCAACATCAGAGAGTTCATACTGGAGAGAAACCCTATCAGTGTAAAGAATGTAAAAAAGCCTTCAGCCAGATTGCACACCTGACTCAGCATCAGAGAGTTCATACTGGAGAGAGACCTTTCGAATGTATTGAATGTGGAAAGGCCTTTAGTAATGGTTCATTTCTTGCTCAGCATCAGAGAATTCATACAGGAGAGAAACCTTATGTGTGTAATGTGTGTGGGAAAGCCTTTAGCCATCGTGGATACCTAATTGTACATCAGAGAATTCATACTGGAGAGAGACCCTACGAATGTAAGGAATGTAGGAAAGCCTTCAGCCAGTATGCACACCTTGCTCAACATCAGAGAGTTCATACTGGAGAAAAACCTTATGAATGTAAAGTATGTAGGAAAGCCTTCAGCCAAATTGCATACCTTGATCAACATCAGAGGGTTCATACTGGAGAGAAACCCTATGAATGTATTGAATGTGGGAAGGCCTTTAGCAATAGTTCATCACTTGCACAACATCAGAGAAGTCATACTGGAGAAAAACCCTATATGTGTAAGGAATGTAGGAAAACATTTAGCCAGAATGCAGGCCTTGCTCAACATCAGAGAATTCATACTGGAGAGAAACCTTATGAATGTAATGTTTGTGGGAAAGCCTTTAGCTATAGTGGATCTCTTACTCTACATCAGAGAATTCATACTGGAGAGAGACCCTATGAATGTAAAGATTGCAGGAAATCTTTCAGGCAGCGTGCACATCTTGCTCATCATGAAAGAATTCATACTATGGAGTCATTCTTGACTCTTTCCTCTCCCTCACCCTCCACATCAAATCAGTTGTCAAGACCTGTAGGTTTCATCTCCTGAATATGTCTGAAATCTCACCTCTTTAATCCATTTCCATTCTATCATCCTTGTCCAATGCACATTAATATATTTGACATGGGATACTCGAGTAGCTTTCCAATTGGTCACCTTGTATTCACCCTTGTCTGTGTCAGCTGTCCACATTGCAGCCAAATTTGTATTTTAAAAAAATATGTTGAATATCATTTCTCCCTCATTAAAATTCCTCAGTGGCATCCCATAGTTTTTAAGTTAAAGTACACATTCTTCAAAATAGCCTAAAAACCTAGCCTCTAACACCTTGTTCCAGGCTACCTTCCAAAGTTCCTATCTTGTGTCACTACCCATCTCATTCTCTGAATACTTATCCAGGATTAAGACACATTTTCCAGAACCAAAAAGATCTGGGTTCCAATCTTTGCACTTCCATTTTCTGCTCTCTAATTTGGGGGCAGCATTTTGTGCTTTGTAAGCTTCAGTCTGATTTATAGTGTGGGAATAATAATGGTTCTACCTCAAAAGTTAATAGAAGAATGAAATAATGCATGTAAATTGCTCAGCAGCGTGCCTAGCATAAAGTAATTAAACATTAATGTAAAGTAAAAAGATAACCATACTATACGTAGAAGAGCCGATCATCTCGGCCATGATTATCTCAGAAATAAAAAAGAGATGCAGCAGCTCAGGACTGAGAGATTGTGAAGTTTTTTTTTTATTAGGAATGGTAGGCATTTTTCTAAAAGTAGGTAAGGAGAGTATCTAATACAGTAGGATTGACATTAGAGTCCGTCATATAGGGTAAAATGGTGGCTTCTATCTCAGCATTGACTAGATATTTAACAGTTCTAAGAAGCTAATGTCCTATTTTAAAAGTCTTTTTTTTTTTTTTTTTTTTTTTTTTTGAGATGGAGTCTTGCTCTGTTGCCCAGGCTAGAATGCAATGGTGCAATCTTGGCTCACTGCAACTTCTACCTCCCAAGTGATTCTCCTGCCTCAGCCTCCTGAGTAGCTGGGATTATAGACATGCACCACCATGCCTGGCTAATTTTTGTATTTGTAGTAGAGACAGGGTTTTGACATGTCGGCCAGGCTTTTCTCTAATTCTTGACGTCAGGTGATCCGCCTGTCTTGGCCTCCCAAAGTGCTGGGATTACATGCGTGAGCTGCCGTGCCTGGCATAAAAAGTCATTTTTTAATTAGACAGTTTACTGAGATGTATTCATCATTTACATGTAAACAAAGGCAAAATCAAAATTAAAAAGAAGTCGTGAAACAATCAGTAACCAATGAAGAGTAGAAAATTAAGTTTGAACCCCTTTTCTAAATCTGGGTAAATGAGTTATATCAAACCTATGTCATTTAAACTAATAAAGGTTGTTAAATTACTAAAATTTCAAAACTAGTGAAGAAAAGAAACCAAAACTGTAGGTGAGTTCTCATAAACTGGCCCACAAACATGTTTGATTCTGTATGCATGAAGTTTAAAATACATGTGAATACCTTCAGCAGACCATGTGTTTTCCCTTTCTCAAACATTCAGACCACTCCCTGATCCTTTATATCTGACCTTTTTTAATATTACTTCCTGACCCCAGAAGTCTTTTGGCATATAATCAATGCAATAATCAATTCACATATGACTATAGATACAAACAGAATGATGAAAGTTTAATGGAGGATGAAAAGGAAGACAAATATTTTATCCTTTATATGGTAAGATTGATTCACTAGGCTGGGCGCGGTGGCTCAAGCCTGTAATCCCAGCACTTTGGGAGGCCGAGACGGGTGGATCACAAGGTCAGGAGATCGAGACCATCCTGGCTAACATGGTGAAATGCCGTCTCTACTAAAAATACAAGAAACTAGCCGGGCGAGGTGGCGGGCGCCTGTAGTCCCAGCTACGTGGGAGGTTGAGGCAGGAGAATGGCGTGAACCTGGGAGGCGGAGCTTGCAGTGAGCTGAGATCCGGCCACTGCACTCTAGCCTGGGTGACAAAGCGAGACTCCGTCTCAAAAAAAAAAAAAAGATTGATTCACTATCATACCGATGTCAGTAGCCCATGAATTAATCTACAGATTCTACCTAACAAAATTCTAATACATTTTATAAGGTTTTAACATGTATGTGTGAACATACATATTCACGCTGTTACACATATAAAGAAAATATATAACAAAAGTGACCTATCACATCAGTGGTTTAACAGTTTTGGAAAAATTTATTCTGCTCTATACAACAATTCATTCTTTACATATGTGAAAGTTATTTTCAAGTGGTTTGTCTAAATGTGGAACAAACAGTGATTAGAGAACTCTGTGGCACACTCTAATCATGGAATGAAAATGGCCTTCCTAAACATCACATGATGTTCAGAAGCCTCCCCACCTCCTGCCAACAAGTCATAGGTTTGACTGTATCAGAACTGTATAAAGATTTTATATGACCAAAGATAGCAAAACAAAGATACAATATTTTTTAAAGCTAAGAATGGGAGAAATTTATCGCAGCACATATAAACTATGGAATTCGTATCCTTAACATAAAATTGCTCATAAAAATCTCTTAGGAAATGATGCGTTTCTCCAGCTCATAGTCAAAGGATATGAAGAGGCAACAGGTGACCAATAAATATGTGGTAAGTACTAAATCTCCCTAGGATCAGAAGAAATACAGTTTAGGCCAATGAAATACTATTTTTTCAATATCAGATTAATAAAACTTTGCATTGAAAGCATAGAAAAAGAGATACTATGCACAAATTTAAAAGAGCATGGGTTTGTACAAACTTTCTGGTAGGCAATTTGTCAACTTCAGAATTTTAATTGGGAAAAGTAGAATTTTATTTTGAAGTTCAAAAACTCGGCACACAATGTCTTTCCCTCCAGATCCTATTATACACATAGAACAATGTAAACGATACTTTAAAAAAAAAGTGAGGCTTTTGAGTGGATGAAATAATTTTGTAAACGGCAAAACAAGGAAGAGTGTTCATTCATGAAATGTAGCAGAAGATGCTGCATGTTATATGTGAATGACTGAAGGGTTTTGAAAATGGGATCTAGTCTGCCCAAAGGATCCCTAGAGAAGTTCAAGCTTGGAGTTGGCTTCTGTACGGGCTGTGGCTTCTAAGAAGACATGACGAAAAACCTCTTAAAGCCTTTCTATGTGAAAGTTATGTCAGTAACCCTTGCCAAAAGCCTCCTTACTCTCCCCTCTCTTATATAAGTAAATTTCACAGCATTAACAAGTATAAGTTCTAACAATAAAATCTAAATGTAAATTACTAAAGCAAAACTATTAGAAAAAAATATAGTGGGATATGTTAATGACTTTGGTGTCAGACATGTCTTTCTAAAATATTCAAATACCGTAAGGGAAAAGATTGATAAAATTGACTGTGTCAAAAATTAGTGTGCTTTGGCCAGGCGCAGTTGCTCATGCCTGTAATCCTACCACTTTGGGAGATGTAGGCAGGTGGATCATGAGGTCAGGAGTTCAAAACCAGCCTGGCCAAGATGGTGAAACCCTGTCTCTACTAAAAATACAAAAATTAGCCAGGTGCAGTGGCAGGCGCCTGTGATCCCAGCTACTCAATAGGCTGAGGCAGGAGAATCGCTTGAACCCGGGTGGCAGAGGTTGCAGTGAGCCGAGATCACACCACTGCACTCCAGCCTGGGCGATAGAGTGAGACTCTGTCTCAAAAAAAAAA